GCAAGCATATGGTAGGATGAGGTAAAATGCATGAATTGAGGGAAAACACTTAGCCTAAAACATTAATGAGTGAAGAGTGAAACACAAATACTGTGAGCTAGATGGTTTCTTTGCATTGTGTAATTTGCATGAAACCTTATTGGATTTTTGTTTCAGTTTAGTGGGACTTTGCATGAAAATAATTGATATGAGTGTGATTGCTTTATTGAATGAATCCATGATTTTGGAAATATTGGAAGTGCCAATTAGGGTCTAATATTGGGATGAAAATTTTGAGAAATTTTTTTAGATAAATCCAATCCTTTACCCTCAATTTTCTTGAGTTTTGATTTGCTTGAGGACAAGCAAAAGTTTAAGTTTGGGGTTGTGATGAATCCACAATTTATAGATATTTTGTCTAGCTTTTTATAGAATTTTAATATGAAAAATAGACTTAGAGATTGTAAATAACATAAAAACCTCATTTAGGTCAAATATTATAGCTTTCTTAATTTTTGTCTTATTTCCACTAATTTTTGTGAATATATTTTGCAATTTTGATCATTTGAATAATTGTGCAGGAAATTCTAGAAATTTCATGAATTTTTGGCTCTGGGGAAAATATGAACCGAGAGTAATCACTCTCAGGTACCATAGTGATCACTCCAGGGAGCTTATTCCAAGAGGTAGACCAGAGTAACCACTTTCAGAAGTAGCAGTGATCACTCCAGAGCTAGAGAGAACCACCAGGCCTGCGCGTAATCACTCTCAGAAGTGAGAGTGATCACTCCAACAGCTCCAGATTCAAAGTACCTGCGCGTAAACACTCTCAGAAGTGAGAGTGATCACTCTAGAAAGGAAAAAAATTTGAAGTTGCTACGCGTAAACACTCTTGTTTACAGAGTAATCACTATGGGGCCATATCAGGCTTAGCATATATAGATTTTTAGAAATTAGGGTATGGACCTTTTCATAATTTTGGATTCTTTTGCCACTTTGGGAGCATTTTGCAGAGCTTAGGATCCTTGGGTGACAGCCAAGGCCAATCTTAGGGTTTGATTTACAATTTCTCTTCACTTTCCTTTAATTCTTGCATTAATGTCATTGAATTCCTTTTGCTTTCATCTTAAATTTGTAAGACCCATCCTCATGGAGGGCTAAACTTTCTTGTAATCCTTAGTGAGTTCATGGATTCTTGAATTCCTGGGTATGAATGTCAATATAATTCCCTTTCCTTTATGAATTTTATTTCCCAACTCTTTGAATTGAATTAATGTTTGAAAAAAGGAACATTGCTTAATTAACTTGGTTTGGTTAATCCTAAGTTAGTTTCTAAGGTTGCGTAATCTTAGGAAAAGGGTTGGAGCCCATGTAAATTGCTTAATTCATATGGGACTTTGAGGTTAATTCTTACGTTTTGAGTTACCCTAATTCAAAGAAAGAGGAAAAGTATTGAATCTTGAGAGGGATAGGGATAGAATTACATGAACAAACTAAGGATTGCACATTTCATTGATTGGATTCATTAATTTCATTACTTGCCTTTACATTAAAATTGGAATCACACAAAACCCCCTTGTTTTAATTGCTTTCATAGTAAATGTTTACAACATGTTCAATGTATGTTACAAACCAAAGTCATTGGAGACAACCTAGGCTTGCATCCTAGACTACATAAATTTTTTTGCATATTTTGATGAAAGTTGACAACAAATCTTTTATGCAAAACAAAAATTATTCATTCATCAATTATAATCACTTTTTCCAGCCTGGAAAAAAACTTATAATTTTTACTCACATTTAATTTCCTTAATAGAGAGTTGATTTATGGTAAAGCCTATAGTAGTATATTTCTCTTTGGAGGTATTGAGTGATGTTTCCTTTTGTCTCTAGACATTTAGAGAGAGAGGAAAATAGAGTACCCTGTAACATCTTAATTTAAATTTTCAATAAATAAATAAATTTTGTAAAGATGGGAATAAATAAAATTTTTCATTCAAACGATTTTTGAATGCATAAGTTCAATAAAGTATTTCAAATAAGGATGAATTACAAGTTTATATTAAAGATTGCTACATGACTAATTTTAAATACATCAGAGTTTCCAAAATAACTTTCTAGTCCTATAGCAGTTTCATCCGTCCCTTCATTGAGCTTGGTGTTGATTGTCTTGGTCACCTGAAAAATAAATGTAGGGGTGGGTACTCCACACTATCCAACATGCATAAGCATAGAGACTCATCTGACATACTTCCACACATTCCTATCACAATCATAATATAAATCATTCATTATACAAACACAAGCAATAATTTCAACATTTCATTCTCATCTACACACAAATGCGCTCACTGTACCATCAAAAAATTTACATCCACGTACGCTCACTGCACGCTATCAAGGCTCACTGTGGCACTAGTGGATAACCTCTGCCTCACGGATACAAAGTGTGCGGTCACGGGTCCCTTACCAAAGGTGTTAGTCAGAGGCTGAGTCAGGAGGAGAGTGTGTGGCCTGTGGTGCACTCACGTTTACTGTTGGTGTCACCACCACCCTCTTTTCCCCATGGTAATTTTACCGCCCCCATCTTCCACATTTCTAGTATATCGTTGAACCATTCATAGCTTCCAACATATTCAAACACATTCACAATCAACATCAACATGCCATTCACACACATTTCCAACCATTCAATCCAACTCACGAACAACTTTGAAGGCTGTTTAATCAGTAAGAACGGGTTAGGAATAGAGAGAATCGGATAAGAGATGAAGCCAAAAGAGTGGGAACGTGTTTCCCAAACCCTAAATCTCTCAAATACCCTTCTGGTCGCGATACTCTCACTACAGCGAGATATTTGCAAAAATTTCAAAAGAAACTGCACTCTGATTTCTGCAGAATCTCACTACAGTGAGACTACGCCCAGAAATGCACCCCTCTCTGTTGGCTTCTCACTACAGCGAGGAGCCTCTCGCTACAGCAAGAACATAACAGAATCACCCAGCTTGCCCAGGGCCTTCTCGCTATAGCGAGAAGGCCCTGCATTACACACTTAGCCAAATTTTCAATCAATTACAGCTCAATCAAATCCATATCACATTTCAACCACACTATATGAACCTCTTCACAATCATATTCATACACATCATATATATATATATATATATATATATATCAAATATATAAACATATGAAAATTTCACATATACCCTTATATTAATATATCAATATATTATTACATAAATCTGGGGCGTTACATACCCTAATTTGATATTTGAGTGAAAAGTTAAGAAATATAATATTTATTTTCTTAGAATAACTAGTTTGAGAATTCAAAAAATTACAAACTATGTTGCTCACATTATTCTAGATTTGTTTTTAATAGTATTGGATGAATATTGTTGTAGTACTTGTATAGATATGTGATGAATTATATTATAGTGATACTTTAATATCTTTAACACTACTTTGACACTATTTTTATGATTACTTCACTGTTTAGGCTAGTTTTATATGTTTGGTCTTATTTAGGTCTTAATTAGTAATTCTACATATTTTTTGTATTTTAGTACATTGACACGTGCTCACTATTTTGGCTATAACTTTTGATATAGATAAAGTTTTTTAGTGATTCCTTTTACGTTAGAAAGATAACTTAGAGTTTCATTTTAACATCTCATTTATCATATTTGGAGTTCTAAGTTGAAAGTTAAAGGAATTTGAAATTAACCTCCTCATATTGTTACCAAAATTACGAGATGAAGTGTCTATTAGTAGTTTGTAATTAGGATTAGGCCTAATTAAACTTTATGATCCATTTTACTTTATGAATTTGTTAGCTTTGGAGGAATTGAGAATATATTTTTGACTTTTTTCTTTTTACGTTTTTGTAGTTATTTCAATTTGGAGTTAACATTTGAATTATTTCTTATTTATTCTCTTCCTTCTTGCTAATTTATTTTAGTTTTTCCATGATAATTGTCTCTAAACTTGGGTTTGTGTTTACATTATGATGGATAAGTAATTTCTTAGATGGATCTATGAATTTGAGGTAATGTTTTTCACTTCAATCTAATTCAAAACCTTATTTCTTACCTTCTCAATTTTATTACAAATACTTTTAATTCGGTCTCAAATCACGTTGTTATGATTCCAAATAATTTGCACGTATCAAATTCATTACTCGTGCAATATCAAAATATTTGTTCGTTAATTCAAACTTTTGAGATCAAATTTAAAAGAACCATGTTAAATCTATTGATGCATGTTCAATGACTATTAAAAAAATTTGAATTAAGAATGCCTATTAAACAATATTTAAAGAATTCGAATTAAAGACGGTTGTTATTTAAATTGAATTCACAAATTGAGATTATTTTGTAACCATTTACTATTTTGTTGAGTAGAAATCATAAATCAATTACTTTTGATTTATTAAAATTTTCCATATTTTAATTTGTTGATTATTTTCTTATTTATATTTAAAATTTCTCCTGATTTTCTGTTTCATTTTTAGCGTTTTTAATTAAAGTACTTAAATGTCTCTTAATTACTGTTTTTAAATTGTTTTTTATTTAATCGAATGCGATATCAATCTGTTCATAAAATAGACAAATTGTAATTAAAAGAATGCGTTTGCTAACGTGATTTTTAAATTATATAAATATTTTTATATTATTATAAAAGTTTAATAAATTCATATTAAATGTTTTATAAATAAAATAAATTAAATTAAAGAAAAATAAATAAGAATATTAAAAAATAATTTAATTAATACTTAAAATGTAACTAATTACATCTTAAGTTATATCTAATTTTATTAAAATAATACTTATGACGCTTATAATTATTTTAAAAAGTAATTTTGGTATAAATTCAAACATACTATATGTTTATCGATACCTAACGCACTAAATAAGGGTAAATTTAAGAAAAAAAATACACATACTTGAGACATTTTGAGCAATTGAAAAAGAATGAAATGAACATATTTTCTTTAGATACAAGGAAGTGAGATCATCATAACTTGTGTTCCAAAATAATTTTCTTTTCATCAAAACAATTGTTTAAATCATGACAAATCAATCATCTTAGTTTAGACCAAAGAAGAATACATCCTTTCATTTAAAGGGAGGAATAAATAGGTACACCTGGTAAGGTGGCTCCGGCGTCCACAATAAAATTGTTGCCTGACACATATTCAGAAGAATCATGAATTAAAAAACGAACCATCGATGTTAATGCTGGATCGGCAGTGCCGAATTTCCTCAAGGGTACTGTTTTCAAGGCCACGTTATTCAACCAATTTTTCTCCATTAATTTCTCAGTGATTTCAGATTTGAAAAGTCCAGGTGATATGGAATTCACTCTTATTTTCTGTGGCCCCAATTCCAATGCCATCACCTGTCAAGTATCACTCAACAAACATAAAAATCATAATATATTATCTTTATTTTATTTTAGATGCATTTAATGTCAGCCATATACTTTTAAAAACAATTAATTTTATTAATTACTATAGAAAATAAAATAATTTGACAGAATAGACTATCATATCATATTGTTTAATAAATATTAAAAATAAAATAAAATATTACATCCTGTCCTTTTATCATGATCATTAAATTAGTCTAAAAATATTTAGTTATTTTCAGAAAATTAAAAAATAATATTAAAATATTAAATGATAAATTTTTAAGAATCAAAATAACTTTACTGTTGTTCTTTTTTATTTGTTGTTCAAGAATCAGTTTAGATAATCATGATTATATAATTTACCCTTGTGAGCATATTAACGCCTGCTTTCGAAGATGAATATGCAACACCTCCAGGCAATTGACCGCGATTCAAACCTGCAATTGAAGCAATGTTGATAATTGACCCTTTCCGGTGTGCATCACTCATGTGTTTGCACACATATTTTGACACCAACCAGGTCCCAGTTATGTTCGTCTTGAACTCTTGATTCCATTCCTCCTCACATAATTCCAAGGCTGATTTCACATTTCCTACACCACACCAACAATTAAACACAACCACTTTTAAAAACATTACAGACTTGTGGAGTTCAAAATTATCCATTTTTAGTATATATTAATATATAAAAAAATTGCGAAATTTCAAAATATTAATCTCAACCGTAAAAGTTTAAAACGACAATCCTGAGTTCAAAACAAATTATCAATCTTATACAATGAAAATAAATTGCAAATCAGTATCAATTAAAAAAAAATCTCAAAGTTAAAGTTAAATCGTTACTGACAAATATTAAAACAATAATTTCATATCAACTAAAGCTCAAGTTATATTTTAGCAAAAAAAAAAAAACTCATGTTATATAAAATTTATAAAAATCAAATTTCATATCTACTAATACCTGCTCAGACAAAAGAGTCCCCAATTGTTCAAAACCATTATCAATTTCTCAAACCTCGATGCATCTAAAATGTTCATCCCAAGGTTCAAAAGAAAATTCCAATTACCTCTAATACCGGCATTGTTGATTAACGCATCAATGTGGCCAAACGCCTCCCACGCCTTCTGCACGTACCTCTCAATGGCAGGGCCGTCGGCTGTGATATCCAGTTCCACCGCAGCGGCGCGGAGGCTCCGTTCAGCGTCGCCGATTTCCTGCGGCGGCAACTGTCGGTTAATTTCGGCGCAGAGCGACACGAGTCGGTCGACGCGGCGTGCCGCCGCGACAATCCGGCAGCCGGCGCGGGCGAGGTCGAGGCAGAAGTCGCGGCCGAGGCCGGAGGAAGCGCCGGTAACCATCACCACTTTTCCGGCGAGGGTGTGCCACGGCTCAAGGTGGTCGGAAACTTGCGCCGCCATGGATTGTTTGTTTAGATTGAATCTACGAATTTAAGGGGCTTTATAAGGAGAAAATAAAGTGTTGAGTGAGTGAGGGTTGTTGGCAACAACCGTTACTAAGTATTACTCGGAAGTTTAAAGGAAGGAAGGAAGATGCAGGATAGCCACTAATTAATGAAAGAGTAATCAATGACCCACGTGGAAACTGCTTCTTATAAACCAGAGGCCGAGCATTTCAACAAAGGAAAACGGTCATGACTTTCTCAGAAAAAGTAATTTTATTACGAGATTTTGTTAACCAATCTTTTTTATACTTTTAATAGAATATTTTAATAAATTAAGAGATTAATAATTTATAATTATTTATTATATAAATCTAAACAGTTAAAATTAAAATAATAATAACAAAAACTCAAACAATAGCAAAATTCATAAATAATTTTTCTCAGATAAATAATTATTTATATTTAAAAAGTAATTAAAGATTTTAATTCTAATATAATGATTAATAATGCCAAATATTTAAGAGAATGAATAGTAATATTTTAAATAAATATAATTTTGTGTTAACGATCTTATAGTAAATTTTATCACCCGCGTACATTCTTTAGTGTCACCTGCGTACACGTAATGCTTATTTGTCGTCTCATAAAACAATGTTTAAATATTAATGAAATAAGAATGTTTACAGGGATAATTAAAAAATTAGTATTTTATATTATTTTATAAAGTAAGTATTAAATAAAAATTTATTTATATATTATTTTAATATATAAAAACTTTTATATTATTTTATTTAGTTATTAAGTTTCTAAAATAAAAAATTAAGTTAATAAAAAAATTAAAAAGATTTAGAATGATTTTCATGAATTTATTTATGAAAAACATTATTAGTATAATTTTTTTTAACATAATTTATCATGATTTTGAATAAAAATATTATTTTGTTTTGTTTAACCAAGATTACCACACTAATATAATATAGGTAGTGGGTGCCGATTCTGAGAAGTGATTTTTTATTAGTTCATGAATAAATTAGTGAAAAAATTAATAGAACACAAAAATGGACCACGTTTTTTTTAAGTTGTTGTAATAAAATAAAATCGTAACAGCAAACTTTTTCATATAATTAATATATTTAGATTAGGAATCCGAGTAATGTTATCCGTGAAAATTTTGATAGTATACAGGTATGATGATTTTTGTATGGAACATCTAAATCAATTTCGAAATCAATCTCACTCTATTTTATTTCAGTTAAAAAATATCGTATTAGTATTGCAATTACTCATCGAGCACATAATTAATTAGTAGGAGTTTGAGTTCTTTCACTTTATGTGATTTCTAGTTTGAAAGTTTTAAAAAATATAATTGTATTAAATATTTAAAAAAAGAGTTTTATTGTTTATAATAATTTTATGTTTAATTGCATAGAAATGAGTTTTCAAATCACCAAGATTGTCTGTTAATTAATATATATATATTTTAAATATTAATTAATATTAAGATTTGATAGAAGAAACATAAATAATTTTTCCTAAAAATAAAACAATGTATTTATTTATATTAATTTTAATAAAAATATTTATTAATTAATAATGTAAGTCAAACCTTATCTATTTCATATGAAAAAGTTATATTTATTATAATACTCTAAAATTTCACTACTTCTAAATTAATTACTAATCATATCAATTTAAATAAATTAAAATTAAATAATATATAAAAAGTTAGAAATCAAAATACATTTGGTGAAATTTACTCGAAAAAGAGTTAAATTAAAGAAAATCAGATAAAATAATACTAAAATAATTTAATTTTAAAAGAAATTAATTATCAAAAAATTTTATAAATGACTTTAGCATGAGAAAGAGATCTAATTTGTCAAAAATTGGACAAAGAATCAACTATAGTAAAGTGTACTAATGAGGAAAAAGGTTTGGTTTATCAAAATTCATTGAAAATTTCCTTAAGTTAATGATTGAATTGTCACAACACCTTTTTTAGGAAGGATCTGTAACATACTTAAACTTATATAAATTTTAAGCATATAAGAAGAATTAAAAGTTAATTAAGATGATCAACGAAAAATAAAGAACTCGACATCTCAATAGTAAAATAAGGTCTCGTTATAAAATTTGAACACCAAAGTTGCTCGACACGGATCTCAAAATACAAATTATATCAAAATTTACATTCCATGATCAAATCTATAGCTAAATAGTTTAGACTCACAGCTAAGATCTAGACTAACAAAAGTAAAACTACATATACCAAAGATTTTCAACACGGATCCTTCCTCAGGCAGACCCTCTAGTACGGGAAGTGGACGCTTTATGTGTTACTCCTGCTTACGTACTACCGTATGGTCATTGCAACACACATGCCAATATAGATAAAATGCAAGGGCGAACTTACAAAATAAATAGCCATAGTAATAATGTAAATACAAATGTAATTACATATAAGCTTAATACACTGAAAATGCTCAACAAAGAGAGAATATCATAAAATATATAAAAAACTTCTGTTTGGTTGTCTCGTTTAGGTGAGAATGGTCCCGCTTAGGCGAGAAGCTGTGAGCAAAAAGGAAATATAAGTAACTTTGATGTTTTAAAACTTGGATTATAAGCCAAGCAACCATTTCTCACATTACTCTTTGTTCTCTCACTTCCCTTCCATAGTCAAATCACCTTAAGAACTCGAACCTCTCTCAAATCCAAGGTTGAATGTCTTTTTCCCTTGATTCCATGTAAGTTTATAAGAACTTAATCTTCAGATCTCACTTCTATTTCTTCATTTCCTTCTATCTCAAAAAGTTACTCCACTTTGTAATACTTAGGAAGAACTTGGTCTTTTAAACGATATCTTACGCAAAATCCTTTGCAAATCATTTACTCAAGGTAAAGAGAACTCTATCTCATCATTAAAACATCACATACTCCTTTTGCTCATGCTCATATAAGTGTGATTATGTATTTCTTTATTTCATAAATATAAGTTTGAGATGAGATTTTTGGTTGTTTGCTTTGCTCTTTGTGTAACACCTTAATTTAATTTTCAAATAAATAAATTTCATAAAAATGGGAATAATAAAATTTTCATTCAAATGGTTCCCAATACATAGTTCAATAAAGTATTTCAAAATAAGGATGGATTACAAGTTTATATCAAATGATTGCTACAAGACTAATTTAAATACATCAGAGTTTTCAAAATAACTTTCTAAGTCCTATAGCAGTTTCATTCATCCTTTCATTAAGCCCGATGCTGATCATCTTTGTCACCTGAAAAATAACTATAAAGGAGAGTACTCTACACTATCACACACACATACACAAGTATAGAGTCTCACTTGCCCATTCCATACGTTTTCTAATAGAATTTAAATCATTCATTAACAAACACAAGTAATCATTTCATCGTTCCATTCTCATTCACACACCATCAAACAATTCACACACACGTGCGCTCATTACTGTGGTACTGTAATCACAGATTCCTGATGCCCTCAACCTTAGGGATTTACTCAATTCACACTATGAATGGTCGCCGAATAGCTCCTGCTCTACGAATACAACGTGTGTAGTATTGAGCCCCCAAACAAAGGTGTTAGTCAGAGGTAGAGTTAAGAGGAGAGTGTGGCCTGTGGCGCACCCCTGCTTACTGTTAATGTTACCATCACCCTCTCTTTCTGATGAATCCATATTTTTACTAATATTTTAATATAGTTTTAATCCATTTGATATGGAAAATATATTAGAAAAAGCAGAAAAACTCATAAAAATAGAAGGATTAAAGGTTGTCTTTAAATACATAGTTATTTTAGCATTTGTGTATTTTCTGCATAGAAATTAGTAATTCAAGCATGTTTTTGTAGAAAATCCTGAGCAATGTTCATGAAGATGGAAGATCAATGGAGAGAAAGAAGAAAAGTAGCAAGTCTGGACTCAAAGAACAAGATGTATGGAGTTTGGGCTGGGCGTGATCACTCTTGCCAGTGAAAGTGAGTGATCCAGAGCTTAATTGAGAAGTAGAGTTTGGGCGTAGTCACCATTATCAGTGAAAGTGAGTGTTCTAGAGCGTTTCTCAGAAGAACACAGTGTGCGTTGTCACTTTCGCTGGTGAAAGTGAGCATTCCAGAGAAGCTCCAAACATTGCATGTTGTGCGTTGTCACTTTCGCTGGTGAAAGTGAGCGTTCCAGAGAAGCTCCAAACATTGCATGTTGTGCATTGTCACTTTCGCTAGCGAAAGTGAGTATTCTAGATGACTTCAAACTTAGCAGACTTGCGCGTTGTCACTTTCGCTGGCGAAAGTGAGTGCTCCAGAGAGACCCCATCCATAGCAAGAAGCGCGTGGTCACTCTCATCAGCAAGAGTGAACGTTCCAGAGAGACTTTCAGCTCTGCAAGTTGCACGTGGCCACTCTTGCTCTCGAAAGTGATCATGCGCACTCTTCGATCTCCTGCGTTGCTACTTTTATCAACGAAAGTGAATTTTCAGTTTTCCAGAAACTACATAAGCCTTTGCGTGGCCACTCTTATGAAGCAAAGTGACAACGCCCAAAGTCAGAAAAAATTATAAATTGCAGAAACGCTCAGATTTTTGGATCTTTTGTTTATTTTTCATTTCTACTTAGTTCTTGGGTGTGGAGAGAGTATGAGAGAGAGATTGGGGACGAACTTTGAGCTCCAACCTAGAGGAATCAGATTGGGGATCGACTGAAGATGGATCTTCTGTGTTCTTCCTCTTCTTCTCTTTCTTTTTCTTTCTCTACTGAAATGGCTGTGTAATTTCTTCATAGTTAGGGATTGTAGATCCAAAACGAACATGTTGAATTGATTTTGGATCTGGATTTCAAGTTTTAGAATGGATTGAGTGGTTGATTCTGCACCTTACATAGTAATTGAATAGAAATTTGATTAACTAATTTTAGAGGAACTCTTATCAATGGAAATTGAATTTGTTCTTCAGATCTAAACCAATCACCAAGATTATAGCTTTCTTAGGGATAAGAGAACTTGATCTTGCAATCCTCTGGTTTCTCACACTTAAAGAAACATTGAATTGAACCAGATCTAAGGAATTAGAGTGATTTAATTGAATATTAGGTTCACTGAGTTAAGGAATTAACCTCTGAATAATACAATGTGAAACTGATTGCCATTCTTTCCAATTACTTGTAAGT